GGACCATTTCTTGGTGTACTGGATCAGTGTGTACGTTTTCCCAGTGCCTGTGTGAAAAATTAAAAACATTTCAGTCCTTCCAGGTTGTTACTTCCTAGCCAGGTTCCTTCCAGACAGCCAGGATGGCAGAAAACAAAAACCCCAGGACTTTGCAGGTTGAAGGTGTGACGTTAGACTGAAGCTTCCATGTCTACAGATGAAATTAAGGAAGGTGCATAAAATCCAGGACTAATAGATCTAATAGATCCCTTCCGATGAGAAGGAACCAAGTCATTAAGGAAACAAAGGGGGAAAAAAGTCACTTGAACCAGAGGAAAAAAAAACAAAATTGGGTTCTCCTGTGCAAATCCCATCAACAGCTATCAGACTTGAAAACCAACCAGGCAATACAGGCAGTCCTCGACTTACGACCACAACTGTGCCCCAAATTTTGGTTGCTAAGTGAAACATTTCTTAGGTCATTTTTGCCCCATTTTACAACCTTTCTTGCCACAGTGGTTAAGTGAATCACTGCGGGTTGTTAATTTAGTAACATGGTTGTTAAGTGAATCTGGTTTCCACGCTGAGTTTGCTGGTCAGGAGATCGCAACAGGGGATCCCGTGACCCTGGGGACGCTGCAGGTCATAAATAGGAGTCAGTTCCCAAGCGTCTGAATTTTGATCACGTGACCGTGGGGATGCTGCAAAGGTTGTAAGTGTGAAAAGGGGTCGTAAGTCCCTTTTTTCCACGCCACTGTAACTCTGAACGGTCACTAAGTGAACTGCTGTAAGTCTGGGACTATCTGCCGGTCTTGTCAATCTACAAAGAAAGCCCACCCATTCTGCCAGCCTAGTGGAGAAGGATGTGGGTAAGTGTATATGAGTGTTTGTGTGTGTGTGTGTGAGAGAGAGAGAGAGAGACAGAAAGAGCGCAAATGGATGGATGGAGGAGAATATTTGAAGCTCACAGTTGAACTGCTGGGTTCTTGATATCTCCCGAGTTTGGTCATTTTCTTACATTCATTTCATGACCCAACTAGGTAACAACATCAGTGCTTGAAGGGAGTGCGGTTTGTGGAGGAGGAGGAGGAGGAGGAGGAGGAGGAGGAGGAAGAGGACGACGACTGAGCGGTCCTTGGTGCTCTCTGAGGTTTTCTTGCAGATGTTTCATGAGCCAACTGCATCACATCATCAGTGCTAAAAGGCTTCTATGCACTGATAATGTTCCCTAGTTGGGTCATGAAACGTCTGCAAGAAAACTGCCCAGCTCAGAGAGCAACAAGGACACCCCCCCAGCCCAACCACGAGCTACAAATATTCTCTTCTATCGGTAACACTACAATCTCCCTATTAAGGGTGGAGAAGAAACGTAGCAGCCTACATCCCCAACAAGGAGAATATTGTTGTAAATAGCAAGAGATCTTTGGGGGAATTCAAGAAAGCTGGTGCAATGAAGATCCGGGCAAGGTGATCTCAGCTCAAAAAATATGCAAAGATTAGTCAGTTTGCACCTACAGAGGGAATCAAGTATCTCCTGGGCTGGGGCTGCCTTACCTGCAAAAGCCACAATTTTTACCCTCTCTCCAGGTGTTTTAAAGGCGTGGTTCAAGATCTGTTGTTGTTCTCTGGTAGGTTGTAAGTCAGTCCTGTTGATGAACAGAAGCAGAAGTAAAAGGTTAACATAGGTAACCAGGTGGTTTTTGCAACATAGCAAACACTGTCTAACAGTTGCCTCTTTTAAGATGGGTGGACTTCAACTCCCAGAATTCCCCAGGCAGCATCTGCTGGGGCTGGGGAATTCTGGGAGTGACGTCCACGCAGCTTAAAGTTCTCAAGGTTGGGAAACATTGGGCTAAATTATTCCACGGTTCTCCTGGAAAAACTTATACAGGTAGTCCTCAACTTACAACAGTTCATTTAGTGACTGTTCAAAGTTACAACGGCACTGAAAAAAAAGTGACTTATGACCATGCTTCAAACGTACGACCCTTATAGCATCCCCATGGCCACACGATCAAACTTCAGACGCTTGGCAACTGACTCATAATTTATGGCGGTCGCAGTGCATCAAGGTCATGTGATCCCCTTTTGCGACCTTCTGACAAGCAAAGTCAATGGGGAAGCCAGATTCACTTAACGACCGTGTGGCTCGCTTAACAACTGCAGTGGTTCGCGTGTGGCGAGAAAGGTTGCAAAATGGGGGCCAAAGTGACTTACCAACTGCCTTGCTTAGCAATGGAAACTTTGGGCTCAGTTGTGGTCGTTACGTCGAGGACTACCTGTACATGTTTGCAAACCTTATGTAAAGTCCCCATTGTTGATACAGGTAGTCCTCAACTTACGACTACAATTGAGCCCAACATTTCTGTTGTTAACATTTGTTAGGTGTCTTTTTCCCCATCTTATGGCCTTTCCTGCCACGATTGTTAAGTGAATCGCTTCAGTTGTTAAGTTAGTAACACGGTCGTTAAAAGAATCCGGCTTCTCCACTGACTTTACATCGTGGTGACCAAAACTGGATGCAGTATTCCAAGTGTGGCCTTACTAAGGCATTGTAAAGTGGTATTAACACTTCACGTGATCTTGATTCTATCCCTCTGTTAATGCAGCCCAGCACTGTGTTGGCTTTTTTGGCAGCTGCAGCACACGGCTGGCTCCTATTTAAGCGATTGTCCACTAGGACTCCGAGGTCCCTCTCACAGTTACTACTATTGAGCAAGGTACCCCCTATACTATACCTATACATTTGGTTTTTCTTGCCTAAACATAGAACCTTGCTTTTTTCACCACTGAATTTCATTTTGTTAGATAGCGCCCAGTGTTCAAGTCTGTCCAGATCCTCCTGTATCCTAAGCCTGACTTCTGGAGTGTTGGCTATTCCTGCCAGCTTGGTGTCGTCTGCAAATTTGATGAGTTCCCCATCTATCCCCTCATCCAAATCGTTGATGAAGATATTGAAGAGCACTGGGCCCAGAACAGAGCCCTGGGGCACCCCACTACACACTTCCCTCCATGTAGATGCGGTTCCATTGAGGACCACACGCTGAGTACGGCCGGTCAGCCAGCTACGGATCCATCTGGTGGTGATGCTGTCTAACCTGCATTTTTCTATCTTCTCAAGTAGTAGGTTCTGGTTAGAACGTCGTAAAAAGGGATCACATGAGCCTGGGACGCTGCAACCGTCATAAATATGAGTCAGTTGCCAAGAGTCTGAATTTCAATCACAAGACCATGGGGAGGGTGCAACGGTCGTGTGAAAAACGGCCATAGGTCACTTTTTTTCCAGTGCCGTTGTAACTTTGAAGGGTCACCAAGCGAACTGCTGTAAGTCAAGGACTCTCTGTATTGAGACACAAAGTTAACGTACGTACCTACAATCCTGTAATTCAGGGTTGATGTCCCTGCGGGGCGAATTCTCCAAGGTATGCAAATAATAATAAACATTGTAATAAAACCTAGAAGGAAAGGGAAAATGGGAAAAGTTATAATGAATCTCAAAGTAAACCCTAAACTGTATAAAATCCAGGAAAAATAATTCAGAGAGGAGAATAAACACACCTCCGCGGATTTCTGCTTTAAGGAACCAACCCTTGAAATCAGCAGCATCTGTTTGCAGATGTGTGAGAAAGCCTGGGCAAAGTTGCAGCTGCTTTATTGAGTAGGAGAGGTGTTCTATTTTGGGTTATTTATTGATAACCCACCTTAATTGTTTTTGCACATAACTCAAGGGGACGAATATATCCAATACAGCTTCCTCCTCCTACTTTTCCCACAAAAAAAACAACCCTCTGAGGTGGGTTGGGCTGAGAGACAGACAGACAAGCCTAAAGCCACCCACCCAGCTTTCATGCCTAAGGCAGGGCTAGAACTCACCGTCTCCGGCTGATTGGCCCAGAGTCACCCAGTTAGCTTTCATGCCTATGGCAGGACTAGAACTCACAGTCTCCGGCTGATTGGCCCAGAGTCACCCAGTTAGCTTTCATGCCTATGGCAGGACTAGAACTCACAGTCTCCAGCTGATTGGCCCAGAGTCACCCAGTTGGCTTTCATGCCTATGGCAGGACTAGAACTCACCGTCTCCGGCTGATTGGCCCAGAGTCACCCAGTTAGCTTTCATGCCTATGGCAGGACTAGAACTCACCGTCTCCTGCTTTCTAGCCCGGTGCCTTACCCACTAGACCAAACCGTCTCTCATGCTAGATTCTGAACGTTTTGCAAAACGTGCCCAACCCTACCAAAGATGTATTCTTATTTTTACTACTGCCGCAAAGGACAGGTTTCCATCCTAAGTGTCTCTCCTGACCCTTTGTAAACTGACCTGTTGCTGATCTCGATCCCATTCCCTCGCATGGCGTAAAGGAGGGTGGCCGTGCAGTACAACATTTCATTGATGTCCATCAGCGACATGGGAGAGGGGGGCCTTTGGAGGCAGCCCACCAGCTCCCGAATATCGCCAACACCTCCAGCGAAGAGCACAAGGGCCGCCATCACTGCCCGAACGTAGGCCGCCTGGAAGAGCATGGGTGGGATCATTATAGGGGTGGGGGCAACCTGTTGACCCTCACAGGTTGTATTTTCTGTCCTGTCTGGCAGGGGAGCAAGTTAAATGGTACAAATAGTCCTGAACGTGCAACTATTCAAAGACTGTGGAGTCCGTGGTGCTCTCTGAGCTTGGTGGTCTTCTTGCAGACGTTTCATCACCCAACTAGGGAACATCATCAGTGCTACAAGGGAGTGGGGTCTGCACAGAGGAGGAGGAGGGGAGGAGGAGGAAGAGGGGGAGGACTGTGGGGCCCCTTGTGTTCTCTGACCTTGTTGATTTCTTACAAAAGTGTCATCAGCTGACTAGGTAACATCATCAGCGCTAAAAGGAAATGGGTTTGCGGAGGAGGAGGAGGAGGAGGAGGAGGAGGAGGACGACGACGACGACGACTATGAGGTCCTTGGTGTTTGGAAGCCTGGCATTCATATAAATCACTAAATCAGGGGTAGGCAACCTTGGCTCTTTTATGACTCGTGGACTTCAACTCCCAGAATTCCTGAGCCAGCCATGCTGAGGGGAAAGGGAGAGGTTTCCAAGCTGAGCCATGCTGGCTCAGGAATTCTGGGAGTTGAAGTCCACAAGTCACAAAGCGGCCTACGCCTAGGCCAGAGGTAGGCAACCTTGGCCCTTTAATGACTCATGGACTTCAACTCCCAGAATCCCTGAGCCAGCATGAGGGAAATATGGCCCCCTCATGACTGGTGGACTTCAACTCCCAGAATCCCTGAGCCAGCATGAGGGAAATATGGCCCCCTCATGACTCGTGGACTTCAACTCCCAGAATTCCTCAGCCAGCATGAGGGAACTATGGCCCCCTCATGACTGGTGGACTTCAACTCCCAGAATTCCTGAGCCAGCATGAGGGAACTATGGCCCCCTCATGACTGGTGGACTTCAACTCCCAGAATTCCTGAGCCAGCATGGCTCAGCTTGGAAACCTCTCCCTTTCCCCTCCGCATGGCTGGCTCAGGAATTCTGGGAGTTGAAGTCCACCAGTCATAAAAGAGCCAAGGTTGCCTGCCCCCTGCACTAAATGATCGCTAAATGAATGCTTGCTAGAACTCTCTGTCCTGGAATCCATTGCCTTTGGAGTGACCATCCAATCCAAATTCTGAGCAAGACAACCCACCTCCCAGGGGAAACACCATCGAAACACGCCCAAAGATCAATTCCAGATCGTGTTTAAGCCTGCCCAGACATACTTTCTCTTTGCGACTCTCCAAATCCGGAAGATTCTTGGCGATGCAGATTTGCGCCTTGGGAAAGAGTGAGTGGCGTTCCAGACACGCGAGGATAGCGGTAGGATCTCGGCAGTGGCAGCTCCGAACAGCAGCCACACACCTGGATTGGGAAGAGAAACAGGGACAGGTGACGGCCTTCTCTACAGACATGGACTTCTTCCCCAGTTCAACTCCTTTTAGTCATTTTAGCAAGCTGGCAATTCCTAGATAATAGTAGTAGTAGTAGTAGTAGTAGTAGTAGTAGTAATAACAATAATAATAAAGTTGGAAGGGACCTTGGAGGTCATCTACTCCAACCCCCTGCTCAGATAACCTAATAGGAGTGGATTGGTTGCAGCAGGGGTCCTCAGCCTCCAGGCCACGGCCCACTACTATTGAAACGTGGGAAAGCATGCATGTGTGAAGCGTGCGCCTGCCACTCACAGGTCTCCCCCCAACAGCACCAGGTCGGGCCTCCCAGCTGGAAAGCTTGGGGATGGCTGGGTTATAGGAAGTCCTCGAGGTCGTGTGGCTTCTTGGGAAGAGCGACGGAGTCCGGGTGACCTCCGTTAAAGATACGCCTTCATTCCGCTGAGCAAAGGTGGGTCCTTTCATAAGACTGGGAGAACACTCAACGCAGTTTGAAGCACGTATATGCAGATTTCTTATCTTCACTTGCTTACGTAAGCCACCACACCGTCGATAAGGCGCACAGGGTCCTCAACGTATGGCCACAACTGAGCCCACAATTTATCTTGCTAAGTGAAAAATGTGTTAAAAGAGTTTTGCCCCATTTGATGACATTGTCACATTTGTTAAGGGAATCACCGCAGTTGCTAAATTAGCAACACGGTCGTTAAGCGAATCTAGCTTCCTCGTTGACTTTGCTTGTCAGAAGGTCGCAAAAGGGGATCCCGTGATCCCGGGTGCTGCGGCCGTCATAAATATGAGTCCGTTGCCAAGAGTCCAAATCTGGATCAAATGACCACAGGGGTGCTCCAACGGTCGTTAAGTGTGAAAAATGGTCATACGTTCCTTTTTTTCTGTGCCGCTGTAACTCTGAACGGTCACTAAATGAACTGCTGTAAGTCGGGGACGACCTGTGCAGGTGTAGTCAGACCCTTGGCAGATCCAGGGGTGCAAGAGAGAAGGGCACGGAGGGCCTCAGTCCACAGAGGGGCCGAGAGTCACACGCGACTGAATGGCTGACGAGGATGACGAGTCCTCGACTTACAATGATTTGTTTGGTGACCCTTCGAAGTTACGACGCCACTGAAAAAATTGACTCAGGACCATTTTTCACACTTACGACCGTTGCAGCAGCACCAGGGTCACGTGATCCAAATTCAGATGCTTGGCAATTGACTCACATTTATGACGGTTGCTGCGCCCCGGGGTCACGTGATCCCTCTTGCGAACTTCTGACAAGCAAACTCTATGGGGAAGCCACTTTCACTTCACAACGGAGTTGCTAACTTAATTGCATTGACTCGCTTAAGAACCGTGGCAAGGAAGGTCATAAAATGGGGCAAAACTTACTTCACGGCAACGGAAATTTGTGGCTCAATTGCGACGGTCAGTCGAGGACTACCTGTATCAGGATACCTGATTAACTAAAGCAAAAGAGAGGATTTGTGGTTGTGATACTGAAAACCACTCACCGAATTAATCCAGGCATGCATCTGGGGTAATTCCGGGTTAGGCCGTACTGCTGCAGAACGTCTGCGACAGCATACAGGGCTTCGATGCTTCTCTCCAAATACTGATTGTACACCTCCGTCCAAGAAATGAACTGAAATTCCTGAGCAAAACATTGGATATTATTTTATTTTATTAAGATTTTTTTTTCTTCAATCCCGCTCTTAATATTTGTATATGCTCCGAATGGAGTCAGCTTCACTTTTGATCGGGCACAATCTTCGCTTGAGGGACCTGAACTTTTAGAAGCATTCCTTGTTCTTGGATCCACTAAATTAGAAATTAAATTTTCTCTGGGATTGTTTCGATTCATAAAAAGCAAGACGAACACCTTAGAAAACAGGAGATTTGTCTACAAGAACAGAAGAAGTGTGGTGCAATTCTGAACACGACCTATCTCCCCATAATTCAGTGTTTGCAGCATTGTTTCGTTAATCACTTCCAAAGTGTTAGCAGATACCTGTTAGATCAACCACGGAGGAGCTGCCAAATGACCACCTTCAGGAGATCTTTGCCCTGGGGTGCCTGTAGTTGATCTTCTCCAAAACCTCTCTCGGCTGCGTTAGCACTAGAAGCTTATCATCTCTGACATGAAGGTAAGCGATGCCTTTATCTCGTCTTCCGATATTTGAGGGGCTGCCACAAAGAAGAGGGGGTCAACCTATTCCCCAAACCAAAGGTGCCCACAGAATGACACAACAGGTTCATTAAAGCATCAATCACACCATCGTGACCACCATACTGACTTTCTCACCAGTGTGGACACTACTACTTTTATGTCTGATAAGTCTGAGGGGTCCTTACTCTTGTTTTACACCGGCTGGAGTCTATATGCTTGGCTGTCTTCCTCGGAGTAAAAGGACCTATCTGATGTGATCCACTGTGGCTAACAAAGAGTGAAAGAGAAAGACTAGGGGTGACATGATAGCAGTCTTCCAACATCTGAGGGGCTGCCCCAAAGAAGAGGGAGTCAAGCTGTTCTCCAAAGGGCCTGAAGGCAGGACAAGAAGCAACGGGTGGAAACTAATCAAGGAGAGAAGCAACCTAGAACTAAGGAGAAACTTCCTGACAGTCAGAACAATTAACCAGTGGAACAACCTGCCTCCAGAAGCGGTGAATGCTCCAACACTGGAAGTTTTTAAGAAGAGACTGGACAGCCATTTGTCCGAAATGGTATAGGGTTTCTTGCCTAAGCAAGGGGTTGGACTAGATGACCTCCAAGGTCCCTTCCAAGTCTGTTATTCTTAGGAGGATGGAGAGGACCCAGTGCAGATTCAGTCTCCCTTGCAAAGTTTCCTCCATGGTCTAACCATAGACAAGAACATAACCCTGTTTAAAATCCCCTTCTGTTCACAGAATAACAGAGTTGGACGGGACCTTGGAGGTCTTCTAGTCCAACCCCCTGCTCAGGCAGGAAACCCTATACCATTCTAGGCAAACAGCTGTCCAATCTCTTCTTTAAAACTTTCAGCTCTGGACTTCTGGAGGCAGGTTGTTCCACTGGTTAATTGTTTTCACTGCCAGGAAATTTCTCCTTAGTTCCAGGTTGCTTCTCTCCTTGACGAGTTTCCATCCGTTGCTTCTTGTCCTGCCTTTAGGTGCTTTGGAGAAGAGCTTGACTCCCTCTTCTTTGGGGCAGCCCCTGAGATACTGGAAGACTGCTATCCTGTCTCCCCTCGTCCTTCTCTTTGTTAGACTCTTCGTTAGCCACAGTGGATCACATCAGATAGTTCCTTTTACTCAGAGGAAGACAGCCAAGCATATAGACTCCAGTCGGTGTAAAACAAGAGTAAGGACCCCTCAGACTATCAGACATAAAACTAGTAGTGTCCACACTGGTGAGAAAGTCAGTTTGGTGGTCACGATGGTGTGATTGATGCTTTAATGAACCTGTTGTGTCATTCTGTGGGCACCTTTGGTTTGGGGAATAGGTTGACCCCCATCTTCTTTGTGGCAGCCCCTCAAATATCGGAAGACGAGATAAAGGCATCGCTTACCTTCATGTCAGAGATGATAAGCTTCCACTGCTAACGCAGCCGAGAGAGGTTTTGGAGAAGATCAACTACAGGCACCAGGGCAAAGATCTCCTGAAGGTGGTCATTTGGCAGCTCTTCCATGGTTCTTTGAGATACGTCATCCTCAGATTTAGTTCTAAGAGCCCAGAGTGGACATTAGGAAGAGGAAATACCTTGACTGTTCCATCATCTACGTTCTGCTCAGGAAGACTCACCAACAATAGATCGACGTCTTGGCCAGAGCTTCTGTCGGAGTCGCTAGGTCCCTGGGACAAAGGTAATCGTTTCATGTGGGACACTGATGTTTCCTCTCCATCACCAGGACGAATGGAAGAGTTGTCCGAGGTGGACGATGAGTCACAAACGAAGTTCTCCAGAGGTTTCTCAACTTTGTTTGGGTTGCTTTCTGCCACATTATCGGAGCATCTCGAGATGGTGCTTTGGTGACCTGCCCAACCAACAGAGACAGAAAGGGAAGACAATTACAGCAGCTTCCAAGGACAATGTCGGCCATGTCGAAGAGCAGGGCGCTGGCGGACAATGGCAGGCCTCCGTACAGATGGTCCTCGACTTACAACAGTTCCTTTAGTGACCGTTCAAAGTTAGAACAGCACTGGAAAAGAGGACTTATGACCATTTTTCACACTTACAAGCCTCCCCCAGGATCACATGATCAAAATTCGGATGCTTGGCAACCTGATTCATATTTCTGACGGTCGCAGTGTCCCGAGGACACGCGATCCCCTTTTGCGAACCTTCTGACAGGCAAAGTCCATGGGGGAAGCCAGATTCGCTTAGCAACCGTGTTGCTAACTTAACAACTGCAGTCATTCACACAACAACCGTGGCAAGAAAGATGGTGCAAAATGTCTCGCTTAGCCATAGAAATTTCGGATTCAATTATGGTCGTAAGTTAAGGACTATCTGTACGGTTTTCCACATCTCCCATTTAAGCCTTTAAGCCCTGCTATCCGCACAGCAGACGTAAAATTATAACATCTGCAACCTTGAAACCAGTAGGAGAGAAGACATGTGTAGGGTCCTTGATGTTCTCTGAGGTGGGGGGGGGTTTCTTGCAGACCAAGTAACGACATCAGTGCTAGAAGGGTTTTAGGGAGGAGGAGGAGGAGGAGGAGGAGGAGGAGGAAGAGGAGGAGGAGGAGGAGGGGAGGAGGAGAAGGACTGTGGGGTCCTTGGTGCTCTCTGAGCTTGGTGGTTTTCTCACAGACGTTTCATGACCCAACTAGGGAACATCATCATGCTAGAAAGCAGTGAGGTTTGTGGACAGGAGGAGGAGGAGGACAACAACACTGATTGTGGGATTCTTGGTGTTCTCTGAACTTGGTGGTTTTTTTGCAGATGTTTCATGACCTAACTAGGGATCCTCATCAGTGCCAGAAGGGAGGGGGGTTGGGAGGATGAGGAGGAAGAAAAGAAGGAGGAGGAGGAGGAGGAAGAAGCGGGAAACGAAAACGACTGTGGGTTCTTCGATGCTCTCAGAGCTTGGTGGTTTCCATGCACAAGACGTTTCATGACCCAACTAGGGAACATCATCAGTGCTAGGAGGGGGAGGGGTTTGCTCTCTATATACAGGTGGCCAAATAAACAATGAGCCAAGCCTTATCAATAGGGGACAAGTGACAAATGCTGCACCAAACTGTTGCAACACAACACCCCCGCAAACTTGCATTGAAACGGCACATCACGGCTTCGGTTGTGTTTAACCAAAGCATCAGATGCAGCAAAGGCCCCCGAAATCCGGACAGCACCTGTTGCTCAGCCTTGCAACACAATGCAAAGGGTCACAACTCATCCTACCCTCGGACTCCTTCTTCCTCTCAGGAGTTGGGCAAAGGCCCCCGTTGGAGTCTCGGCTGGCCGGCCTCTGGCTGAGGGGCTGCGTCAGGGCGGCTGTGCCTTCTGGGCTCTGCCGAGGAGCTTCGGCATCACTCGCTGCTGGGCCGAGTTGCTTGGAAGAGCTCACTGACCCACAAGAAAACAACAGAAAAAAATGTCACTGGGTTAACAGAAGACCTACAAGTGAAAGACGAAACCCCCGTTCCATTGCAAACCCGGACCCTGCCTTTTGCAAACCACAATTGATGGTTTAAGGTGTTGTCTCCTGCCAATCGTATTTTAAGCAATCAACCAGGGTTCATCCAACTATCACACAGAGTTCAGAGCAGCATAAGTAGCATAGTTCAGCATAGAGTAGCAAGACAGGAGACCAATAAATTTAACAAATGAGGAAGGGAGGGAGGGAGAGAGGGAGGGAGAGAACCTCTGGTCCCAAATACCAACCCAGATTGGATCCCCCC